AGAGACAGAAGAATCCACAGAAGCTCATGGGCCGGGTCGCCTCACACATGCAGTAACAAACAAGAAAGCCGGCGTCGAGCAAGGTTGGAAGGTGAGGACAGACACCCAAGGTTGTCCTCTGATCTGCACGCGCGTGCGCGCGCACACACACACACACACACACACACACACACACCATGAAGATACACATAACGAATGTCATACACACATAACCAGAAGAACCAGATAGAAATGTCACCCCAATGATGTTTCCTATTGAAAGAGGTCAACTTCTCTTATGCTGACCTCCGGTTCCATCTCTAACCCCAAGCATGACCCCAGGGCATGGTCCTTTCTGCCTACCAGACAAACCAGCTGATCAATGTGGAGGCCTTTCTCCCCATGGGCTTTGAGTATGCGGACAAGAAGACAGCTCAAGAGGTTCCTCTTCTGCTCCAAGGTCCGGCCCTCATCCTTCTCTACACTGAAATAGGTCTGGGGAGGTATCAGCCACAGGACCTCTTCACGGGGCTGGGACCTAGGCTCACGAAGCCGCAGCATCCCTGGAATCCAGTCCCGATCAGGTACCCAAGGACAGGGAGGGACACGAGTGAGGATCCTACCATACTCTCATTCCCTGGTGTGCTCCCCCTACCCTGGGGCCTCCCACCCTGCCACAGAGGTTCAGCCTGACCCGACCCGCTGACCTACCCGCCTGTGGGAAGTTCTGAGCCTCCTCCAGTGTCAAAGGACCATTGTCAGCGATGAGGGGCAGAAGCGCCTGGTGCAGAAGCTCTGGGGAGAGGTCGGAAGTCTTCAGCAGGATCTCCACTGATACCTCCTGGTGGGAGAAACAGTGCCCATCTGGTGAAGAGGACAGGAAAGGAAGGGGGGGAGGGACAGAGACTCGGCAGAAGAGAAGACTGGGTGCTAAGGGGTTAAAGCAGCCGAGGCACCTCAGTCTGGTTGAAATACAGCAGCAGCCACATCTGTACTGTGGACACATGCAGGGTCTGGTCCCCAAACTGCAGCTCAGCACGGCCCAGCCATGTCCACTGAAGTCGCCGATGTGGTCCCATGTCCAAGACTGGGTAGTTCTGACCTAGGGAAGTGTCAAGGAGACAGAGTCAGAGAGTCTGGGATAAAGGGGCTGGGATTGAGGTGGTCAAAACAAAGACAGTATTTTTATGTTTGTGGGTTTGTACTGATATTGCTATATATTTAAAGACCTCGTTGATCATCTTTGGAATATTACAGAGAATCAATTAACAATTTAAAAAACAAACAAACAAAAATAGCTGCTGGGTATGGTGATAAACGCCTTTAATCCCAGCACTCAGGAGGCAGAGGCATGAGGATCTCTGTGTTCAAAGCCAGCCTGGTCTACATAGAGTAATCGAGGCTAGCCAGAGCTACATAGTGAGACCCAAAACAAAAACAGGTCTAGAGGGAAGAGGGCAGACTCAGCCTTTCCTGTAAACTACTTCAGGAGAGTGAGCAGCTGGTGAGAAGCTTCTCTAGACAAGGCACCCCACTCACACATGAGGGACAATGGCAAACTGGGGTGTCACTATTTCATAAGTGCCAATGAAGTGGCCAGCACGAGGAGCCGGGGACGGCACTTGGGTGGCAGACGCCGGCTCTAGTGCCCAGAGGGCCTGGGTCCTCTCCCTGTGCCACACACGTCAGCTATGGTGGTACATGCCTGCACCGCCACACTTGGGAAGTTGACAGATGGCCCAGAAGATGACCAGCCCCGGGGACACAGTGAGTTTGAGCTCAGCCTGAACTACACGAGGCTCTATCTCAAGAAACCCAAAGCCAAAGGAGCAAACAAAAATGGGTTATACTGAAGACTGGTGATGTGGAAACCCACGGGTCTCTCTTAACATCCCAAAGGACAAACTTGAATCCAAATAAACCTGCAACCCTATTTCCTTCCAAACAGCCATTAAGGGAGAAAGGGAGAGCAGGACCTGGACTGAAGACGTTAAAACTAATCACCAGATGCAATGCCTGGGCCTTGCTTGGATCCCCACTAAACAAAGCAAGAATAAGACAGAAACTCAGGACAACCAGGGAAACATGAATAGTACGTAGCTGACGACACCAAGGAGGCCTTGAACTTCTCAAGGGTCTGAGAGTGACGAGGCCTTCATCTTTCGAAAGCCTCCTCTTTTAGATATGGGAAGGAGAACATGATGCTGGGCCATGTGTTGATATTCTGGAGTTTATGCTATTTGTATGTTTGAAACTTATCAGTGTAAAAATACTTTAAAATTTACTTTTATTTTATGTGTAGGAGTATTTTGTCCGCATGTATGTCTGTGCACTGCTTGTGTGTGTGGTGCCCTCAAGAGGCTGAAGAGAGCATCAGATCCTGTGGAACTGTAGTTATACATGGTTTTGAGCAGCTGTGTGGCTACTGGGAATTGAACCCAGATTCTCTGTGAGAACAGCCAGTGCTCTTAACTGCTGAGCTACATCTTCAGCCCATTAGTAAAAATATTTTAAATGAAGTAGAGCTGAGGATATAGCCCAGCTGCTAGAATGAATGCCTGTGTATCATCCCAATACAGCATAAAACTGAGTGTGGTAACTAACATGACTATAAACACAGGAGGTAAAGGTGGGGGGTGACAAGTTCGAGACCATCCTCAGATACATTTAAAGCTTGAGGCCAGCCTGGGATATGTGAAACCTTGTCTCCAAAGTAAAATAAAATAAACTGATGCCCTGAGGGTTACTGGCCTTGTTATGAATAGCTCCTCTACCTCCTGCTTGTTCATGGAGGCAAGGGAAACATATTAACTGTACTGGACAAGGTTTTCAGGCTTAACATCAGAGGGGTGGGAAATGTAGAGTAGTGTTTGAGCACATGCTTAGCACCTAAAAGCCCCCAGTTTAAACCCCAGAACTGGGGCAGGGATGGAGAGCCAGGAGATAAATATTTTGACAGTTTTCACATAGTGTCCTGTGAACACAGAACCTGAGTCTTAACCCAAGGAAACATCACAGAAACAAAGTGAGCAACTACTTGAAAGAAAATTGTTGTTGTTATTATGATGATGATGATGATGATGATGATGATGATGATGATGATGATGATTGGTTTTTCAAGACAGGGTTTCTCTGTGTAACCCTGGCTGTCCTGGAACTCACTTTGAAGACCAGGCTGGCCTCGAACTCACAGAGATCCACCTGCCTCTGCCTCCCCAGTGCTGAGATGAAAAGGGTGAGCCACCATAGCCCGGCTAAATTTTAAAGGACTGGATTCTTTAAAAAGTGTCAGTGTTCAGAGACAGAGATGACAGAGGAACTATTCTAGACAAAAGGAAGACACCTGAAACCTAAACCAGCGGTGACATCGGCCTGGCTCTCTCCTGGCTAGGAAGCAAAGTTAGAGAGGACAGAGCTGCAATATGGAAGGAAGCTGGAGTGTTACCTGGATTTCTATGTGTGAGACTACCTTCATGCCTAGGAAATACATACTAAGTATTTAGGAGAAGAGAACAGGATATAGACTAGACAACTTTCTCTCAATGGTCCTGAGTGTGTGTGTTCCCACAAATGTATACACACATGCTCATACAAAGAGCAAATGAGTTTGGTACGCTGGCACATGTCTGTAATCCCAGCACTTGGGAGGTAAAGGCAAGATGTCTGGGAGTTGAAACCCAGTCCAGGCTACAGAAGGAAACCTTGTTTGAAAGAAAAATGCTAATGCTAACAAGAAGATGTCACCACCCAGCACAGTGGTGCATGCCTGTCAGAGGAGCATCCCTGCAAGTTCCAGGCAATCTGCTCCATACAGGGAGTACCTGGCCACCTCCAGAGTGAGACTTTTTTTCAAACAAAAAAATTAAAAGCAAGGTGTTCACAAAAGGTAACTTGGATAAAAGTTACCTGGGTGTTTTTTGAATTATTGTTGTAATTTTTCTGTAAACTTGAAATTTTTCTAAATTAAAAAAAATGTAGGGGCCTGGCAGTACATTTAAAATGTAGCACACACTTTAATTCCAGCACTCAGGAGGCAGAGGCAGGTGGATCTCCGTGAGTTCAAGGCCAGCCTGGTCTACAGAGCGAGATCCGGGACAGCCAGGACTACACAGAGAAACCCTGCTCAGGAAGAAAAAAAAAACAAAAATTAGGGAAGGGTAACTGAAACTGTATGCTTAAAGCTGTTAAAATGGCAAATGTTATGCCAGACATATTTTATCACAATAAAAAAAAGTAGAAAGACAGACGGAAAGAAACGAACTTGGGCCTGGAGAGACAGCTCATGGGGTAGAGTGTGTGACAAGTAAGCACGGTGAGCCGGGTGTGGCTCCCCAGCGCCACCTAAAAGCCAGGGGCTGAGGGAATACTGTAGCCCAGGCTGAGGAGCAGTGTCCCCAGGGCTCACGGCCTGCCAGCAGGAACCGATGAGCTCCAGGTCCAGTGAAATAAATAGAGAGTGACTGAGAAGACACCTCATGTTGACCTCTGGTCTCTACAGGCACTGCACACAAAAATCACATGCCACACACACAGAGGTACACACATATACCACACACACATGAACATGTACACCCAACACACACCACACCCACTCACAAACAAGTATACACACATATTCCGCAAACACATGAACACATACACAGAGAGGGAGAAGGAAGGGATAATAAAAGAAAGAAAAAAGAAACCTAAGGACTGGAGATGTAACCCACTTGATGGAATGGATGCCTCGCTGTTCACATTATCTTGTTCCTATTATCAGTGCCATGTGATGAGACCTTTCGTAAAGATAAAGTGTTGTT